CGTGGTGATTTAGGCAAAAATCGGTTTGAACGTTTTAAAATCAGCAATCTTTAGTAGAGATTGTTATTATTAGATTAAATAATTTGGTACACACCTAAATTACACAGGAACACAAAATTAAACTTTGGGAAATTTCCACGAACCATTTCAAGTTTTCCATGATATTTGGGTGCTCCTGAGTAAAAGTCCCATACAAAATTATTTTCCATCACCTACAGGTTCCGCGGTATAGCTAAGAATACAAAAAACCGATGTTTGCCGACATTTTTAATTACGTGGCCTATATAATTGGACCAACCTTTATTATTTTCGGTAGGACCTACTCTCAATACATCAAGGCATTCCTAAAAAATAGTCCCCATTGTGAACCATTGCCCATGTCTTTGGAATTCGACGCCAAAGTTGAAAATCCCAAAATTGTAGAGATTTTTCTGATGGAAAAACAATTCTGAGGATTAAAACTTGAATGGAAGTAATTTTAACTATTCATTGTATCTATTGTTCATTGTATGCTTTAATTTCGGTTTAAAGCGTTTTCATGAGAACATTTTATTGGATTTCTTATACTAATAAAACCGATTTTTTTATTTCATTATCTACTCCTAAATGTTGTCAAATTTTGAATAAGTCATGGCAACCTCTAGAACTAAGAAACTAAAATACGTTCACTGAACATACACAGAGAAATGTAAATGTTTACTCCCATTCTGTAGGATGCCTTGACTTTTTTAAAATTTGACAACATTTAGGAGTAGATAATGAAATAAAAAAAACGGTTTTATTAGTATAATAAATCCAATAAAAAATATTCTCATGAAATCGCTTTAAAGCGAAATTAAAGCATACAATGAACAATAGATACAATGAAAAGTTAAAATTACTTCCATTCAAGATTTAATCCTCAGAATTGTTTTTCCATCAGAAAAATCTCTACAATTTTGGGATTTTCAACTTTGGCGTCGAATTCCAAAGACATGGGCAATGGTTCACAATGGGGACTATTTTTTAGGAATGCCTTGATGTATTGAGAGTAGGTCCTACCGAAAATAATAAAGGTTGGTCCAATTATATAGGCCACGTAATTAAAAATGTCGGCAAACATCGGTTTTTTGTATTCTTAGCTATACCGCGGAACCTGTAGGTGATGGAAAATAATTTTGTATGGGACTTTTACTCAGGAGCACCCAAATATCATGGAAAACTTGAAATGGTTCGTGGAAATTTTTGGCTGTGTACCTGTGTTATAGAACAAATTTCTGCTTTTCTCATAATTATTATTATCATAATTTTCCTCCAAAAATATTACTTTTTTGCCCGAAATGTGTCAAAAAATTGTCCAAGTACAAAGGGTATACCTCTTTGACTTTGTAATAATATTCTCAACAGATTAGCTCTTAAACCTAAAATCTTTAGTTTTAATAATTGTTCCCAAAAAATAAATGATGTAACCCCTTAAAAAAAATAAAAAAATTTACAACAATTTCTTGGTAGGCGGACATAAAAAAGACAGCTAGTCATAAAACTTAGGCAGCTATTATCCTAACTTTCTATGTATGAACTCTTAGAATCAGATAGCGAATCATCTAAAATTTAACTTCTGCTGAATTAAATTTCAATAAAATTACAATACAATTTAATACTATAGTATAGTCGCATAAAATAAACGAAGATTTGAAATTCACATATTTTTCCCTCCACAGACTACCGAAAACACGGCAAAGATATTGATGAGCGCTGGATACGAGTGCGAGTGCCGAGGCCTGACCTACGTCAAGGGCAAGGGCAATCTAGTCACCTACTTTGTAAAGACACCTTTCGATGGGAAATTGTAAATCACCCACTTGCTGTTGATACCTACTATTTAATGGATATTTATGATCATGTACACGTAGCATAGGCCAAAAGTCACTTCAAAGCATCTTCTTATTTATTTTGAGCTTTTCATTTTAGTTGTAATGAATTTGCCAGCATTTAAAGTACGTTGCTCATCACACGCACATGTTAAGTATTTGTTAGCAACAATTTGTTTTTAGTTAGTTAGTAGAATTAAACGGTTATTGACTATTTCGTACAATTTGTTAGCTAATCTTATGCGTAGCCATCACTAAAACAGCGAATAATTACACTGTGCAGCATTTTTAGTGCTTTTTAAATTTACCTCGATGGATGCTATATTTTTGGATTCGTTACGAATTCCCAAGTTAAACTGCGTTTTCCAAAAAGTTCCCCGACGCAAGGATTCTTAGCAAAAGGACCTCAAAGTTCGAAAAATGCTGAAATTGGCCAACTTTGCGGAGCTCTCAGAGGCAAATGGATGCATTGTTTGAATCGATGTTAAAGTTTTTTAAAAGATACACCCTTTATCTTTTAAACCCCATACTTAAAAAATTTTTAAGATTTTTTTTAAGGCAGAAACAAATTCTAGAAAACATAGTCAAAAAACATGAAAGTATACAGCTGCGGTCAAAATGGTAGTAGTGTTGCCGCCCTGTGTATTTAAAAGTTTGTTGTTGTAATTGATCTTTTCCTGGTAATATTGTATTGATTATAATTTTACTATTAGACTAATTGGATAAGAAAAAATTATAACATCAAACTTTTAAAAACACAAGGCGGCAACACTGCTACTATTTTGACCGCAGCTGTATGTTTTTCAGTTTTGTGACTATGTTTTTTGGAATTTATTTCTGCCTTAAAAAAAATCCTAAAATTATTTTATGTATGGGGTTTGAAAGATAAAGGGTGTATCTTTTAAAAAACTTTAACTTCGAACCCAGCCATGCATCCATTTGCCTCTGAGAGCTCCGCAAAGTTGGTCAATTTCAGCATTTTTCGAACTTTGAGGTCCTTTTGCTAAGAATCCTTGCGTCGGGGAACTCTTTGGAAAACGCAATTTTACTTGGGAATTCGTAACGAATCCAAAAATATAGCATTCATCGAGGTTAATTTTTGATGCTGCATAGTGTTATATACGATTCGAATTAAAATTATGATAGACAAAGAAATGCAAATTAGCCCACCCTAGCCCAAAATTAACCAACAAATAAATATAGCCAAAAAACAACATATCTATTTACTAACTGCTCTGTTGAATTCTTACCTGAGGCTCTCAAGATATGTTCTGTCGCTATTCTCTACCTTTCGAGCACTATATAAATTAATATTTTTCAACTATACTATTTTTTTAAACGACACTAGTTAAATTCTGTAAAAAGAATCAATTAAAACTCTATATATTTTTTTACTCGAAGGTTTTTTACTGTTACTAAACTATTCACTACATCATATTTTGATATATTTATGTATATAACTAAATAAGATAAAAGCCACCAAAGCGAACTACTTTTTAAGACAAATCTAAGCTCAACAACCGCATCTTGTGTACCTAACATATCCCAACAATTTACACAATACCTCCGACAAAAACTGACCTGCTTCTATGTGCAAATTGTATTCCCAATGGATTTCAACTGAACTCCCGAGATTTGGAAACTGATTTTGAAATATCTACGCTGGAATAAAATTGTTAAATAAACTGTTTGTAAAAACCCTCTAAACACGCTGCAGTAGTTCTTAAAGTAGAGTCATTGAACAATATTTGATATTATTAAACAATTTAATTGATTTTTATTAAATGATAAATAAAGGAAATCAATGAAATATTACAAAGTATTTAAGTCAAGTGTGTGTTTAATTATATGAGAAAGACGAAGATCTTTAAAAAGTGATCTACATTTGTGTAAGTATTTCTAATCCTTATCTCAAGAGCAACGAGAGAGTCAAGTGGAGTTCAACCTTATCTATAAATAACTCTAGCACTTTGAAACCAGATTAAGGCCGTCGTAAAACCCACCCCCAACGAGTATGTTAAATATAAAGGATCCCAACGGATATAGAGATAATCAGTACTCAATATAGGCTTAAAAGCTCAACTACTTTGCGTAACAAATTTTAAGGGAGCTCCCACAAATAGCACTATAATTTTGTGTGTTTAAACTTTAAGGGAAACTTACAGTGTTAATGCAAATGGAAGAAACAGTGATACTCCGAACAAATGAATATTATTAATTTTATAACACATTACTTTTAAACCTAAAATTATTATGACATAATGGTATAATATTGCAAACAATTTGATCTAGGAAGGTTATTTAGGCTCAATTGAGTGGAGAGGAGTTTGTTTATGTGATAGTCTGATGAGAAAGAATTTTTGAAGTGCTTCGGGATCTCAGTTTACAAACAAAATTTTGTAAGCAATGCAGAAACGATAACGTGCCCGGCCGATCTTAAATGCTGCTGGGGTCAGCAGTGTTCTCCAACCACATCGCCTCGTATGTCGCAGCCTTTGTTAGAATTGGTTCGCCTGGGTGCTTGGTCAGCATTCTCGGATCTCGAATAACCATAAGCACATAAACACGACGCATGCGCAGACCACGAGACTCCGCCGAGATCCCAACTCGAGTCTGCCTTGACATTCAGTTGCCGTCGCGGCCTTCCAAGATCAAGATCTTATAGTTCCTCGCACGGATAATTTTTTTTTTTTAAGTTCCAATCTAAAGTGTATCCACCGTTTCCTGCAGCTTTAGCAACTTAAAGGAATATTGGAATATTAATAAGTGGGTGAGATTTGTAAGTTCAGTTGAATTTTACACATCGAAATTTAATGTTTCTAAATAAATAAAATATTAAAATACAATATTGTACTACTAAAACTACAATTTATATTGTAACTTACCTGATGCCTTAACTAAAGTGAAATTTCAAGACGATTCTGAAGAGCTTACATATGTTATTTGTACATAAATTCGTTTACAACAACCAACTAGAGATATTAACACCGACAGATATGGTTTATAAATATTAAACTAAGAAATTAGTGCAAAAATGTACAATCTCTTAAATATTTCCTCATTGAGTCTCGATTTCCTAGTTCAAAAGGGAGAAAAATCTATTTTTGGATATAATTTTAGGAAACTAGCACAAAAAATACATGTTTCTTTTGTTGAAATACCATATGTATATTCGTATAACAAAGACGTACTAACTAAATGGTCTTAAAACTACGCCTATTTCGGGAGATTCATCTAAACACAGGCTCTCGGTTCTTGAGCTGGAATACTGCACGAATATTCGAAATACAAATCAGTACCAAGACAAAAGTGGGTTCTAAAAATATTGTTTAGCAGGATGACGCTAGAGAGATTCTCTAAATACAGGTATTTTTTGAGTTTCCAGCTCGAAAACGAGATGAAATACTTAAACAAACTAGAATATAGGACGGGACTCAATCCAATCGATTGATGGCGAGATAAATCAGGGAGAAACAAAAGGTATAACAAATCACACAGCAAACGGCAAATGAAATCAGGAATCTAGCGATGCCGTCGTCGCGTCTCTAGAAGTGCGGCAGGCAGACCTTGCCGGCGAATAGCTCGGAGACGACGGTGATCCAGAGGGCCAGGACGAACATGATGTAGGATATGCCGATCTTAAAGGTGTTGGGCAGCTGGTAGGCCTGACCGCCGATCTCCTCCACGTGGAATCCCAGCGGGAAGACGACGGCCGCCATGCAGAAGAGCACCATGGCCGTGAAGCCCACCCAGCGGGCGTAGGGAATCACATTCCGGTTGCAAGAGGACGAGGCCAGCAGAATCACCGTGGTGGTCACGCAGATGCAGCCCACAAAGATGCAGATCAGGGCGATTAGCCATTCCGGCTGCAGGTCGGGGGTGTAGCACACCTGGGGTCGGTTATATAGCGTCATGCAGGTCCACATCAGTCCCAGTCGAATGTCACCTGGAAATATCCAAAAATTAATTAATGCAAAAGGTACTTCCTGGTTTTCTCTCTCTATTTACCCGTTCCGGACTCTGTGATAATCCAATCGGGCAGCGCCAGACTTACGATCGCAAACACATCGGCCGCCATAAAGAGCGTTGCACTAATTGTCGTTAGTTTATCCATTTTAATCAGGAATTTATGTTTATTTTCAGTTTGTTCTTGTTTTTATTTTGTCTCTCAGCTGCCAGTAATGCACTAAAAAAGGCCTAACTGCGATAGCATGGGCTGCTTTTATCGAAGGAACCAGTTCTTGGAACCAGTTCAATATTGGCAAAGTGCGCGCCAACTTTTGAATTTCGAAGAGTTCTGTTTGTAATTACAAGATTTAGAAATCCATTTCAATTTTTTTTATTAAATTATATATGGTGAACATTTTTTAGAATAAAAGAAGGTTAAACAATCTCTTTTATTTATTTGTGTTAAGCTTTTTAGATTTAGATTGAGTATATTTTATACATACTATTGAAAATGGTAAAATCCAAGGTAAACAAAAAAGAAGATATAAGATTCATTTTGCTATAGGTTATGTTAAATAAATATTTAAAGCAGAGCATGTTAATATCCTATGTCCCATGGGTGAACATTTTTATCAAAAACAAGACTGGGAAACTGGTAAAGAACAATAAAGCATAAAGTTAATTATAGCTATGAAGGTAATTAAAACCGCAGACAGAACTGCATACGACTCCCTTGGTTACCAATATAGTCGTGTGATATGCACTGGCATTTGAGGCAGTCCGTCTGACCGGCGTATAAAAATAAAGTTACAATTCCAATTATAGGTGAGGGAATTGAATGTGGCCACGTCACTTGACCGCCGCTGACGTGTCCTTAGTTTACTTAGTTCGTCCAGGTTGACCCAGGTTATGCGGCCGGTCAGCGTTATAAACGGGGTGGGTTCAGTTCGGGTGGATAGGATAGAATAGGATAGGATAGGAGGTGCCTGTGCTTATATCTGCCCAGTGATATCTGTTGGCGGTCGGCGGTCTTTCGGCCCCTCCAATGCCCCATAATTGCCGGTCAGGAGCTTGTGGGGCTTGCTTTTTATCGCCCTGCGGGCCATGTAATTCTCGTATTATTAGCAAATTTCATTTGCATTCATTCACTTTTCGGATGTGCAACCCAACACTTGCGCGGTTCGGTTCTCCACCGGCATTCTCATTCGCTTTCGTCGCGACATCGAGGAGCCCAAACACGAAATTGAAATTGAAATCGAAACCACCGCGAAATCCTGGCGGATGGGGTTATTGACTAATGGAGATTTGTTTGTTGATTAGTTCGATTCCTGTTTACAAATGTATCTAAATTATGCTATGCTGTGATATCCGACAAGCTGGATTGATTTTCAAATGGTTGGACAAATACAGTGGGGCGGTGAGCATATACAATCTCATTAAATGTTATTATGTTATTAAATATTATAACTACTAAATTTTAAAATATTTATATAGGTTTAGTAGCAAAATTTTAACAATTTTATAAAGTAAAGTAATTAATTTATTTTAGGAATGTAGAGCCAATAACAATATTAATTTGGTATTATTATACCCTTGCAGAGGGTATTATGATTTCAGTCAGAAGTTTGCAACGCAGTGAAGGAGACGTTTCCGACCCCATAAAGTATATATATTCTTGAGTAGCATCACAAGACGAGTCGATCTAGCTATGTCCGTCTGTCCGTCTGTCCGTCTGTCCGTCCGTCTGTCCGTCTGTCCGTCTGTCCGTCTGTCCGTCTGTCTGTTTCTACGCAAACTAGTCTCTCAGTTTTTGAGCTATCGGGATAAAACTTTCCCAAAAGTCTTCTTTCTATTGCAGGTAGTATATATGTCGGAGCCGACCGGATCGGACAACTATATCTTATAGCTCCCATAGGAAGGATCGGAAAAAAAAAACTTTAAAAAATTCTAGCTTCGGTGTTTTTTGAAATATTACCTTCTACTTTTGGGGATGTTATTTTTTAAATATTTATGAATTTCGAATTAATTATTTAAAAAATCGGACTACTATATCATATAGCTGCCATAGGAACGATCGGAAAATTAATGGAAAAGTAATAGGAAATAAATTCTAGCTTCTTAGGTTTTTATTGTATTATCTTCTACTCTAGGATATGACTCTTTTTAAATATTTCCGAATTTCAATTTTAATTGGATCAAAATCGGACGACTATATCATATAGCTGCCATAGGAACGATCGGAAAATTAATGAGAAATATTAGAAAATTGAACATTTTTGCGATTTGTTAATTAATAGGAATGATCTGCAAGGGTATATAAGCTTCGGCTGGCCGAAGCTAGCTTCCTTTCTTGTTTTTTTACTCTACTTTCAAGGAAAGGAAAATCTTTATTTACCCAGCATTTTTCTACCAATTTTCTATTTACAGTTCTCCACTTTTGCCCACGAAATCTAAAAGCCTAAACCAGCCATTCGATACCACAGTCGAACAATAACTAGGCCTTTGTATACAAGTTTCATTTATAATAAGGAAACGGATAGCTGCCCACTGGCAGTTCTTGGCACGACATGGTCGTGTCCGAATCAGAATCCGAGTTTCTGTCTGAGTCTGAACCTGAACCTATGAGTGAGCACCAGGCGGCTATTGACGGGTAAGGTTGAAAATAAAAATTAAATAATAACCTCTGTATTTTCACTAATCTGCTTTCTTGTATCTGAAGAACTCAAGATAATTTGCCTATAAGTCAAGCTCATGAAGGGGAAGTTGACTGCAAACCTGAGAGTATAGAGAAGCAAGAAGATATCAACCAAAAAGCGGTTAGTACAGACATTGCAGAGCCCAAGGATCTGACGGAAAATCAAACAGATATCAGCAGTCCTACGAGGGAAGATAATCAAGAGGATTCAAATAATCCGAAGAGCGAGGAAAGGCTCTTGCTTTCAATGTAAGATTAACTGAAATATAGATATAATTTAGAAATAACTTTACAGTTCTTCATTTTTAGAGACGATGATCCAGACATCACAGAGGCCAAGGATATTCAGAACACTAAAACAAACATAGATAGTTCAAAAAGTGATGATAATCGAGAGGAACCGCAGGAAAATCAAACAGAAATAAGTAGTCCAACAAGCGAGGAAGGGCTTTCGCTATTCATGTAAGATTAACGGAAATACGGATATAATATGGAGATCATTTTTAAAAATACTTATTTTTAGAGATCTGCAGGAAAATAAAATAGATAAAGAAGATAATCCCGAGGAGCCACTAGAAATTCAAACAGAAATAATTAGTCCAGCGAAAGAAGATACCACAAGACCCCTTGTTCTAGAAGAAAGGCACTCGTTGTCCATGTAAGAATAAATTTAAAAGTTGGTTACAATTTTAAGTTTATTTAAAAATAATTTATTTCTAGAGCCGAGACAAAAAAGCGGAGAGCAAGTGTGTATTCCAACGAGCTGCTCTTCATACCCAAAGAACTGGCGCGCAGTGAACTTCAGCAGCGCACAAGGAGCCTGAGTAGATACGCCAAGAACCGGGAATATCACCTGCGAATGTTGAAATTTCCCGTGGGTTCCGGTCGACCTCGCTACGTGGCCAAACAAATGAAAAAGGTTCGGGAGGACTACCAACCGACATTGAATCAACCCCATAATGAATCCGAAACCAACGACTGCCAGGCGGACATCAAAGTGGAAGAGTTCATGGATGATCCATCCGAGGAATGCCAAAATCCCAAGGAGCTGCCCCTAAATATGCCCGATTTGGGGGCAGAAAGTGAAGAGGTGAAGAATCAACTGCCCGACGACGAGGAAATCAGCATTATATTGTTCGATTTGGTGAAGAAGGAAGTCGACCCGAACGATCCGTTGGAGGAGGAGAACCGAAGAATTCTGCAGAGCCAGCGGGAAAGTGTGATAAAAACGAGCAAGCGTCGACACTATCCCTACTTGTGCTGGCACAGTCCCGATCAAGAGGTTCTGGACTTTAAGATGGAGCTTACGAAGCCAGAAATTCAAGTGGGCTTTTGTGAGGCGAATAATGAGGAAGTGGAGGAGCTGGCACTTCCTGATCCTGAGATTGAACAGCCCCCAGAAGTGGAGAACCATCAAGAGGAGCCATCAGTCATAATTAATTATCCTGAACCCCAGAACCAGTTAACCAATGAAACTCCAACAGAAGAGCCAGTTGAAGAAGATGTGCCTGCCCATAACTTTACCCCCGAAGATCCCAGTCAATCAACTAGTTCCGTACTGCGTCAGCAGCTAATGCATCACATTGTGCAGCCCAATTTGTGCAGCCAGGAATTGTGTCAATCCATTCAGTCCAATAACAACGCCGTGGATCGGGTAAATCAAAATCTCCGGCAACAACAGTTTATTGAGCCTTCTCAAGAGCAGAGTCTTCAGTGGAATCCACAAACGAATCAAACATTCCACAAGCAACAGTTGCACCTGCAGCAGCAATATATGCAGCAGCAACTGCATCATCCATCGTCGTCGAGCCAACAGCAACAGGAGGTTATTTACCAGCAACATCGGCACGAGGCGGAGGACAAGCTGCAGCAGATGAGGGTCATGTACCAGAGGATCAAGTGCCGGGAGGAGGACCAACTGCATCAGCTGGGCAGATCCCTGAAGAAGCTCCTGGACGAACGACACACCTGCGAGCGTCAGCATGCCGAGGAGAAGCGCCTGTTTCTGGCCAAAATGGAGCAGCTGAAGAAGCTGGAGGAGAAACTGAAGGCGGACAGAGAGCAACTGCAGCGCCAACTGAGATCGGATCTTAGGACTCTGGAGCTGAGGATTGCCGACCAGCAGGCTTTGGCCTGGTCCTGGCAGCAGCAGCAGCAACAATTGCTGGTGCAACAGCAATCCCAACAGCAGCAGCAGCAACAGCAGCACTTTATGCATCATCATCCGCACAGCCAGGAGCCGCATCATCATCCCAATCAGGAGCCATATATGCAGCCTTCGTTCCTCTACGATCCACCAGCCTATGTTTACCCAACTATGCCAGCCTATCATCAGGAATCGATGGTCTTTCAACAGCGAATTCAAGCCTATCACGATCAGCAGGATCAGAATTACAATGCAACCGAGTTGCAGAGAAGACTGCACCTGCCACCGCCTTCTGCATATTGCCAATCCAATAGGACCTCCACTGAAGTCAGTCCAAATTCCAGAAAAGTCAGACATCGTCGGGTAAACGCCGATCCCTATCCCTTGGCCCAATTGAGAGCGATGACTCTGCCACCGGCTGCCGAGATCATGCAGCTCCAGAGGAACCCGCAGATGAGTCAACATCCCCATCCACCTGCTGCCCAGTCGCAGTCGCAAGCCCATCAGCCCAGAAACGAACACTTTGGAATAACCTCTGTCATGACGAATTATGTCGCCAGCTTTATGAATATGCGTGCTGAGAGATAATTACGTTTAATTGCCGAAACGTGCTTACTTGTGATTTAAGTAGGAATTTTTTAAGAGTGTACAAGCTTAATTGTTAGAAAAAAAAAACAAATAATATGGCTCATTTATGTCCTTACTTTTTTTATGACTTTAAAATAATTATATAATACTGTAAATAAGTTAAGACCAAATAAAAAGTTAAACTTGTTTTAAACGTACTTTCATTCACTTTTTAGAGAGGTTAAAGTCTATCAGCTTCGATTGGCTTTACTGGCAGATAAAAATAATAATAATATTCTACGTAGTTATTATGCAAACTGGGATTACTAGATCATCCAATCGAGGAACTATCTGTAAGTGTATACAAAATCTTGAGTTTCTTAATTTTATATTCAATTTAAATAGTTTATTTTTCCATTAATGAGTATTTTAAAAATACAAATATAATTTTTATAGTTTTGTTAAACATCTTTAGTGATTTAATCTATTTAATATGATTTAATGTATAAAAAATCTTGAGTTTCTTAATTTTATATTACATTTAAAAAGTTTATTTTTCATTAATACGTATTTTCAAAATACAAATACAATTTTTATAGTTATTTTAAATATCTATTAGTGATTTAATCGACCTATGTTTACTATTGAGAACTTTATCGGGACTCGAGTTTTTTTAAATACTAAATTCTTTTTTACTAAATTTATAAATGGTTAAAGAGATACCTTGCCTTTAAATATTTTTAAACTGAATATTGCAACCTATTGTATTAAATATTATGGCTTTGTAGCTAAGTAAAATAACAATTAACGGATGTTAGTTTGTACCTACTATAATACAATTATTAAAAAAGGTATCACTGCTATCCAAAGTAAATACCCATTTTATTTTCCTCAAGGTTAATAAACAGACTTAAATAATATTTCTTTCTATCTACTGTCCCTGGGAGGAGTTCGCACCAAGCCGGGATGCCAGAAGCAGTTGGAGCAACTGCAGCGCGGACAGTGCCAGCAGTTTCCGCACTTCATGCACACGTTGCCAGCTCCGTGTTGGGCGGCCGAGGGATAGGGGGCGTGGCTGGGGGTGGCGCCACCACTGGGCCACAAATCCTTGTTCCGGAGGCAGGATCGACTGCGCTTCGGACTGGCTGAACGGGCTCGGGGCAAACCCACAGAGGAGGGAGATCCTACAGGCGGTGATTGGGGAGATGGTGCTCCCGATGGCGGTTCTGGGTCACAAGGAGCTGGTACCAGAGGATCAGGAGAATCTTTCTTCGCCGGACTCCTGGCTCCTGGCTGATCCAGAAACTTAACAGCGGGCGCATAGAGCTGGAAGGCCAGGGGTTGGGTTGGAATCTGGAGTTCCCGTTCCCTTCGCAATTCGGACAGCAGGCGGTTGAAGGGCAGGTCGTATCGCAACAATTGCTGCGCCGGCAGCTGCGAGTCCTGTGCAGGACTCGTCATCAGCTGCTGCGGCGGCAAGGGCTGCGATACCGCCACTGGTAACAAGTTCCAGGATTGGGGCACTGGAATCAGGCTGCAAAAGTAAACGGGCGTGTGATCTGAATTGGGTGTAGTCAAGCAAAAGATGGGCGGCCACAAAGAGGGTCCTGAATGGCAATGTGGAGTCATCACCGGAGGTCCTTCCTGTCGATGAGTCACCGATGGTTTTGGCACTGGAGCTTTTGGAGTAGATAGCGAATCGTATCCACAGCATGCTCCTCCAATGGGACAACACTGCTGGCACTGAAAGCTGCAAGCAGGCGACTGGACGGGATTAGAGTTGGTATTTTGATTCTGATTCGGATTGGTAATGGGAATGGGACTAGTTGTCCCTGTTTGTGGCGGGCAGAAACTGTCCAAGTAGCCCCCATTGAACTGCGAACAGCTGGAGCAGATCATCTGATTCTTGTACTCATCCAAATTGAAGGAGTTGGGCAGGGGTACGTTGCAGTCGATGCTGAAAAGTTATAGAAATATGAAAATAAAGATGTATAGTAAAAATACTATTGTACCAATTAGAAATATTTCCGAGTCATGAAAACTTCGATTTACAATTTATTTTACCAGCTTAAATAGTATTTAAATGCCTCTCTGTTACACTACAATACAACTAAAACGAATTTGATTTACTGAGTTATGAAAACTCGGCAGTATAATTAAATATTGGAATACTTATATTATTCTATCCTATCGCCATACTGGTCTATTTTGAATTTGTAAATATAAATTATTTAAATGTAGTTTTCTTTAATTTAGGAGTTCTTACTTTCTTACTGTCATTTAATAAATGTAATATGTTAACTTCTATTAAAATTCTAAAATAATTGCAGAAATATCTTTACTAATTTTACTCAAGTTTTCAGCCTACCTTAGACCCTCGGGACATTCGGTGACTAAGCACATTCCCACCCGCGGTGGCTCCACCTCCGACTTGAAAGCCACCTCGTTGTTAGACTGCATCGACAGTGGAGCATAGCACATGTTGAACTGCTGCTGGGGATTCGTTTGCGACGGCAAGGCATTTCCATTTGCATTTCCACTGGGTATCACCTTTCCCGAGGACGTTGCATTGCATCCATGTTCACAGCTCTCCGTGCAAAACATCTTGAACTCTCCAATTTGGCTACAGTGCTCACCACTTAAAGTGGCTAACTCCAGAATATTACAATTTTGTACATGCTAAGCCACAAAAAGTGTAGAACTTTTTAAAAACGTATGATTGAACAATACTGATGACTGGGTTTAATCCCGGATTTTATAGTAAGTGTTTGATCTATTAGAAATATCGGAATAAAAGATTTAATGCTCTTTATGGTATGCTATAAAAATTAATAAACAGTGTATTTAATCATCCAAACTAATCTTATAACCAGAAATTATTGCTAGATGCATGTAATAATCAAGTTAGCATTACATATTCGTTTGGAAGTTCTTTTTATTTTGACAATTAAATTTAATGACATTAAAAACATAAACAGCATGTAGAAAAAGTTCACCCCAGCTTTTTACCCTCCCGGATAGAACACCAAAATTTGTCGAAAATGGAATCCCAAAACAACAGTGAATCCTCGGGGCAAAAGACCAAACCTACTGAGGAACCCGCATCCAAGTGCTGTTTTGTGATAACCGTGGGAAGTGATGGACTAATCGAAATTAGTTCCCACAATCCAGACTCCAAAGTTGAACAAAATGGAATAGGCAGTGATGACTCCACATCGACGAACGAGCCTTCGGTGTCTAAGAAGCAGCGCTTCAGCATAGCCGTTCTTAAAGAGGATTCCAATGAAACCGTTGATAGTCCATCTAAAACTCCCGAGAAGATCAACACTAATGTCGAAGTGCCAGAAGAAACGACGAAAACCGAAGTTTTGCCCCGTTTCGTAAAGATCTGCAATAAAGATCTGGCAAATAGGCCTTCATTCGTGGTTCTCGAAGATGCTTTGGCCAGAGATCGTATTAAACAAGATCTGGAGCAACCCAAGTTAGACCAAGACCAGAAAAGTACCCAAGTTGAAGCTGAGACAGGAGAAAGTTGTCCCAATAAGAGTATGGCATCCACAAATACCGAGCTTAAAGGTAAAATATTTATAATATTTATTTTAAGTTTATTTTATTATGTTTCCTCGTAAGGGACTTCTAATTATCATTCACATTATCCGTAGATAATGCAGTACCACCTCTTCGGAAGTTATCCATGCGAACGGCAGCTCAAGTTCGACAAAAACTGTCTGCCTTAAACGCTAAGCAAACGCAATTGGTTTCTGAAACAAGAAAAAAAGCTGACAACAGTTTGCGTGGTCAGAAACAGCAGCAATATCAGCAGAAACAGCAGCAACATTACCCGACACAGCAGCAATTTCAGCCACAGCAGCAACATCAGCAGCCCCTCGGCAATAATTCTCCGTATGTGACCATCAGTTTCTTACCTCTGAATCAGACGAGAGCCACGTCCAACAGTCCTGTGATGTATCCTTGCCAGCAATTCCTGAGTGCTGCGCCGAGCAACATGTCGTGTTGCTCCTGCTGCAGCTGCAGCAATTGCTGTCCGCCAAGGGCAACGCAAGTCTGTCAAATGCCGATGATGGCCAATGGTTGCTGTCAGTTTCCAAATGCGGTTTATGGCAGCAACTGCTGCATGTTGAAACCACCGGATAGCTTTCCAAATAGCGGATCCTGTTGTCCTTTATCGGATCCTTCGATGAGATTTGGCGGGCAATGCAGTCAGCACACGATACATCCCATAATGGTAACTTCGAACTGCGCACTGCAGCAGCAGCAACCAAATATTCCGATTGCTGGGGGTTTTGGCTGCAACCATTGCTCCCCCTTCAGGATGCATCCATATCCCCATCATCCCTGTTGCCATTGTCCAGGGTTCCTGAACCACGAACAGATGTACCAATCGCAGCAGCAGCAGCAACAACCTCCTTGTGTTTGCTGCCCCCTAAAACCAAATCAGCCACCTAATCCGCCATCCAAAGGAGTAAAGGTATTGAAAGCCACTGAAAAACCGATCAATTGTGATGGAGTTAAGCATATATTTAGCAAGAAGCCAAGTGAGATTCCAAAAACACAGACAAAGGAGATGTTTAAGTACCAAGTTGATCAAGAAAACAAAAATAAATCGAGCAATGAGGCACCTCGATCGATTGGAGGTGCTGCAACTTCAATGACCAATTCCAATTGCACCTCATTGTATGTGGCTCGATTTGGAAAGACTTGCTTGGTGCTGAGACCCATAAGAACCGCTATAATGCCACGACTTTTGACCAAGCGAATCAGTCGCTATACCTCGGTGATAGCCTGGCCCGCAAAAAATATTAAATCAAATATTGGAACTAATTAAACTATATATTTTTAAACAAATAATAATAAATTAAGCGATAAACAAATATACAAAACATCTTCCAAGGGACTTTAAATTTTAATATATTAAAGATAAAAACAACAAGAAAGGAAGCTAGCTTCGGCCAGCCGAAGCTTATATACCCTTGCAGATCATTCCTATTAATTAACAAATCGCAAAAATGTTCAATTTTCTAATATTTCTCATTAATTTTCCGATCGTTCCTATGGCAGCTATATGATATAGTCGTCCGATTTTGATCAAATTAAAATTGAAATTCAGAAATATTTAAAAAGAGTTATATCCTAGAGTAGAAGATAATACAATAAAAACCAAAGAAGCTAGAATTTATTTCCTATTACTTTTCCATTAATTTTCCGATCGTTCCTATGGCAGCTATATGATATAGTCGTCCGATTTTGATCAAATTAAAATTGAAATTCAGAAATATTTAAAAAGAGTTATATCCTAGAGTAGAAGATAATACAATAAAAACCAAAGAAGCTAGAATTTATTTCCTATTACTTTTCCATTAATTTTCCGATCGTTCCTATGGCAGCTATATGATATAGTAGTCCGATTTTTTAAATAATTAATTCGAAATTCAGAAATATTTAAAAAATAACATCCCCAAAAGTAGAAGGTAATATTTCAAAAAACACCGAAGCTAGAATTTTTTTAAGTTTTTTTTTCCGATTGTTCCTATGGGAGCTATAAGATATAGTTGTCCGATCCGGTCGGCTCCGACATATATACTACCTGCGATTGAAAGAAGACTTTTGCGAAAGTTTTGTCCCGATAGCTCAAAAACTGAGAGACTAGTTTGCGTAGAAACAGACAGACGGACAGACGGACATGGCTAGATCGACTCGTCTTGTGATGCTGATCAAGAATCTATATACTTTATGGGGTCGGAAACGTCTCCTTCACTGCGTTGCAAACTTCTGACTGAAATCATAATACCCTCTGCAAGGGTATAAAAATAATTTGTATATTTATAAATCCGTTTTCGTTTCACTGCTTAAAATATATTTCGCCAATGTAAGATCATGATTTGAGTCTATTTCCAAACCGTCTTTGACATCGATCTCTACAATTGAGCACCTGAAAAGGAATTATTATAAATAGTTTTGAATACATATTTTTCAAAACAGTTATTACCTATTGTTTTGTAACAATCCGCTCTTCACCAGCTGCCTTCTTGAGAAATAAAACATTCCCGTTTCCACTATATCTCCCTTCCAATCCTGACGTCTTGGTCTGGCATTTAAATCAAATTCCGCTGGAATAAGTTCATCATCCACCTCTTTCCATCGGAGATAATGTGATCTAAAACCAAGTATTTATTAGGTTTAAGATGGTGTTATTAAAAACATAAAATTTACCTCTTAGCTGCAAATACGCAGTCATGAGTCTCAAATTTTTTAACAGCTTCTTGAATGTATTTCGTTTTTAGAAACACGGATGTGCACTGAAACAGGGCAAAGTCTTCAATATTCTTATGCACTTCTAAAAATTCCGTAATCGCATGAATGGAAGGAGTATCGTCTCTAGCGAATTTCTCAGGTCGACGATGAACAATAGCACCATCTGAAAATTAAAATTTAAGAAGACTGATTCCAAGTAACCTATTCAAAACTCACACTTTTGCGCTTCGATGGCAATTCTTTTGTCGTCTGTGGAAACCCAAATGTGTTTAAAGCATGATGAATTTTTAATCGTTATAATTGTGCGGGCCAAAAGTGACAATCCTCCAACTTCAGCTAGGTTTTTCAGATGAATGCCTTTGCTTCCTCCTCTGGCTAAAATTAATGCATGAATGTCATTTTTCAAACTGGAAAAAATTAAGTATTACTTATATATCATGGGGTACATATTTAACTTACCATAACTCTGTACAGTCGGTTTCAAAAACAAAAACAAGAAAAATAAGAAAAATCACGGATTTCAGTTTTATCATTGCGTTGCGCTTTGTAGATCAGGTTTGAATAAAAATGAAAAGGAAAACATGTTGCCCATAGGGAAGTAATCGTTAGGGTGAGCCACTGCGTTTAAATTGTAAAGTAAAGAATAATATAAGAACGAAAAAATATTTGAAGAGTTTACTTTTTATTAACTAAATGTTTTAGCTTTTGATTTTATGTATTTAAAGTTTTTAATTTGAAATTTAAAACCTTTTTTAAAAGCTTTTTACTTGTCCACTCTGAATTTTCTACTATGTAATTCAAACGCACACAATAGCTTAATTTACTTTATTGTGTGTTATTAGGGTGAGCATAAATAAACTCTGTATTTGTACCTTATATATGTGGACTTTGGACTATTACGAACTTCTATTACTCGGCCATGGAGAGTAGTACTGACTTGACGGTTCACCCATGCGGATGTTACTTAATCTTTGTCTGCAGAAAATACAGAAATCTTGATATCTTAAATTGATTTTACTATTACTATTACTATTTCTTAAGAAAATCGGTGATGTAATGATATTAAGTGAAGCAAAATTGTTTCAAGGTTAATTAGATTCCCCATTAAAAAAATTATATATATTTTTTTTAATACTAATAAAACGACAGTGATTGTTTATTTTTATTTATTGCACAGTTTTTTATTTTAGGCTTTACAATATAAATAAGTTTTTTAATTTATTTACTTTGCTAAAAATCAAGTAAATAACCTTAAAAATACCATGTATTGAGAGGTAAGTTGTGTTAATATATATTAATATATATAAAAATATATTAACAGAAATTACGCGTGTAAGAAAATATACAAAATAGATTCTTCGTTTCTTGAAAAGTGTTTCCCGATCGTCATTATATAAGGTCGATTCGGGACTCGGAGGTGCGCAGATATACAAACGCTTACTGACTGACTACGTGTATAGATCTTTTAAAAATGATATTACTTTTTTTATAGCTACGAGTATTCATCTTTTATAACGGTTCTATTATTACAGTAAAGTGTGCTTACTAAAGGACACTCGCATATCTCTGGTTGATATATGCCTTGGTGTGGTAATTATAAGTTCTTATCGAGGCAGCCAGTGTTTGAATTAATTGTTTGTCCCTCTTAGCAGGTGCATAGGAATCAATGTCACTGCCACTAGAGATAAGGAATAAATAAAATATATTTTATTTTTCGTTATTTGATAATATTTAATACCTGATATTTCGTGTGCGCAGGACACGTTCCGCCCACGTTTGAGGTCTTGGTATTTCCCGTGCCACTCCAGTTTGTTTTTTGTCAATATAGTCAATTACATCATCATAATAATTGGTTCTGTAGTTGTACATATATTTGTATTGGAGAAACTTTGGCCTGCAAGTACGCGATTGCATAAGATTGGAAGATTAATGGGTTAATTACTGGGGAAATACCAACCTGACCCAGTGTCGGTACAACTGCACCGGTTTCCTGTAGCCATCATCTTCTGGCGGAGGTGGAGGCGCTTTGATTTCTTCGATTTCCTCCGGAGCTGCCTCCTCGCCGGCCGGAGTGCCAGCCACCACGCTATCAGCCTTATGATCGGATGCCACACTCGGTGCCTTCGAGGGTGGGGCCGGAGTTCCCGCATTGGATGCCTGGTTCGATGATGAAGCCGCCTTCTCCTCCTCGCCGCCGTCGTCGAAACCCCATGGATCTTCTTCGTCTGCCATATTACTGGAATTACCGATGGGGTTTATAAGTCAATAAATTCTATTGAACCAAGACTTATTTTTCTTTGTATTTTCATTACACGGTGACCTTTTTACAGTTGCATAATATTGCACAATCTCAACTGCATCTTCGTTTAAAAATAAAATGTTTTCCCAATTAAATTCAATTTCTTATTTAGGACACCCAAATAGTTTGCCTTTCGTTAAATGTTTCGAATTCAGGACGATTTAAATGGTTCAATGCATCTAAGTCCAACAGTTACATCATTCGTTAAACAGAATAATTTTAAATTCTATTTTTATTTTGATCGAATTAAATTACTTGATCTTTGAAGGAAAGTAATATTAAATAATTAAAATCACAGATATTAAAGGACTTTTTTTGAAAGCATCAAGACATATTTTAATCCTTGTGATTAACTAAATAGCAAAGACGTCTTGATATGTTTTGGGCAAGGGTATCGCATTGATTTTCTATCACCTAGCACAGGATTCACTAGAAAATTTAGCGATAATACCTTTACTATAGTGTTTATACTGATATAAAAGAAAAAAGACTAAATGATCGAACTGCTGCTCGAAACAAATGCACTTAGAAAACTTAATCTAAATATATCGAAAAGCAGAATCTATATACAAAGGTTGACATACATACACACATACTAAATTTAATTGGCCAAATCACTATTAACACCTATGTATATACCGCAACAATCAGCTGAGTCCTACAATTATAGTGAAAATGTAAAACGGAAAGATCATGTCTATTTTTGGATAGATAAAGCGTTTGCCCCAGGTTTCAATTTCAAGTGGCATTCCATTACATATTTTGTATATATTTTAATAGATTTTATTAAGGATGCGAACAAATGGGCTCTTAGTATAGTAAACTTGTACTTAAATAGTTGGTATTAATTAGTGACAATTTTTTTTATACTTCCGTTAATTTTGACTTATTGGATATTCTTGTGGTCTTGTCATATTTATATTTCTAAAAACAATAAAAACGAATGATACAATTTTAGAAAAAACATTGTTTTTAGTTTTTGATTTCTAAAAAAACGTTTTTGTTTTATTTACAAATTTAAAGGATCTTTTACTCTTATTCAAAATATTTGTTTCTATAAATAGACTCTTATTATATTTTTTTACTCATTAAATTAATATTTTTAAGCTCTATACTTTCAAAATTCCCTGATAACTTATTCGAATATTGTTTCTATTATTTTATTAAACTCTTAAAAAAAATCCTGGCATCAATACAAGAAGTATTTTTTGATTGTGGTAAAGTTAATCGGCCCTGTTCTAGTTTTCACTTCCGAAAGATTCACACGGAATCGAATTTCTTAGACCAGTTCCAGGACTCACTTCCGAAAGAATTGCAAGGATTTAAATATCCCTCGATGTTACTCTGTTAACTTCCGATAAATTCACATGGTAACTTTCCGCCAAGCATTTGACAGGCGGACTTAAATCCGCTAGCATGAAATCAAATTCACTTCCGGGTGAAAACTGGAACAGGCCGGAATAACTTTATAACTTTTAAAAAGTGCGCCAAAACCGGAGTGAAACCATCGATGGATATTTTCCCAAGATCAAAAGAATCGATATTAGTATCGATGTTTTCAGCGTGACCATTTCCAATGATTAAAATGGTATTAAGAGTATATTTCCAAAGTGACACACTGGCCACCCCTAAATTTGTTGTATTGATTGTGTTTTGGTCGAATAAGTTTATTGCAAAAAGTGGTACTGTTTAATTTAGCGGGAGGCAGAAATGTGCCCACAATCAATGTGTCAGTTTTGTTCAGGTAATAAACGCTGCTACGCCCATGGAGGCACCCGAAACCCGAGAGATCTGGGCTATACACACATTTTGCGTGCATATACTGTATGTGTACATATGTATATATGTGCACTGAAGTACATACATACATATAAATATCAAAAATAACAATTTAGGACGAATTTATATGGAAAATAAAAAATATGTGTGCGTTGATGGCGTTTATTCTGGATATTTTGAGGGCATGTGGCATGTGACAAACAAATTCGATACATACATATGGACAAACAACAAACTACTTTATTTAAATTGAAAGGCCCCACCATTTCGAGCCGGTTATATTAATGCATTTAAATGCCCGAGCGAAAATAGTGTCAATTTATGTAAGACGGCGTTGTATCGAGAACGAGAATCCAATCCCCGTTGGGAGTTAAAACGTGTGGTCGCTTGGACCACCCAAACCATCGGAAAGTGGAGACCCCTGCTTGAACTAACTATGGGGAATATTCGGTTCGGCCTAGTTCGTTCGGAAGTGCCAAGTTTTTTTTTTCCTTTTATCTGAAACTTAACCCGATTGAGTGTGTGAATATTATATGCAAAAAAAAAGGCCATAACACCAAACTCTGGGAAGGCAAAAAAATTATAGGCGCGGGCCGTGTTTTCCCCACGTGACACGCAGGCGTATGCGTGTGCCAAAAATTCCATTTCGTTCGGCGTATTCATCATGAAGGGAGATTTAAAATTGCATTGGCTTCGCATTCGCACTTTCCGCCTTAAAGAGTAGTAACTAGCAATGGAAAAAACAGGCCTCAGCAAGTGACCCAAATGCTATATTAGCCTTGTTCTCAATCGCACTTTTGAAATACGCACTCGAAAGTGGAATATATTCAATAAGTCCAATAAGGAAATAAAATATCTTAAATCAGCCTATTACTTTTGCATTGACCCTGACCTTACCGAATTGGTAGATTTAATTTCGTTTTAGTTTGGCAAGCATTCAGCTTTTTGCAAAGTTCTAAGTGGAGTATTTTCGAAATTAGAAGTCGTATATAAAAATGCTCCCATATATCACGGGTTCAAAATCGATATTACTCTGCTGGTTTCGCCTTCTAACGTTTCTTAAATTAGGTTTCAAAAAGTAGTAGTAAATACCTAAATTAAAAACCAATTTCGAAATATTTTTAAAAATTATATTTACAATTTTGGTACTTTTCGATTCAAACTTTCAATTAATTTCCCCATTTAATTTATTTGCGTTGAAAACTATTTTTCAACCATTATAAACTTGTTTTTTTATAACACTTTTTACTAATAAGCTGTGCATTTTTTACTTTCAGCGTATTAGCCTCGAGAGGTAAATAATGTCTTGACTTGGTCGACGGAAAATAATCTCATGTAAGTAAACGGTCTTATAATAAGCAAATATTAAATCCTACCAATAATATTTGTGCCTAGCTTAATATAGCCTAAAATGCATGACTAACCCAATACTTAAGCAGCCAATTAAGTAAATATGATTTGTACTAATTATTCTCCAAATGTGTGTGTAAACCTTTAAAATAATCAATCATCCTAACTGATCATGTTAAATACCCATTCGGATTTTTTAAAAAACACCAATAAAATATGTATTAAAAACAATAAATGCAAATACCCTTGCAGATGATTTTAATATTGATCAAAAGAACCCATTATTCTTTGATTAAAACATTTATTCACAAAAAAACGTATGTAAATGGAGTCATACGGTGTTTCTGTATCTCAATCTTTTTGTTATTTCGGTATAAAATATAAAGTTTAAATAAAAATGGAACAAAGTGTATTAAAACTGCGGTCGCTCTAAATGAAATTTAATTGTTTCGTGGTTCATCGTTTGCACTATTAGATCTTTGATCTTTGCTTTCTCCAGAATGGCATTTTGCTTTTTCTGAGGGGATCGCAGTTCGTGTAACGGTTTATTTTGAGGGTGAGGTAACCGTTCTACGTGGGAATTGACTGACACAACTTTTTAATTTGCAGCTCTGCATCGCTTTTTGTACATTTTTATAAATAATACTCAATAACATAAAAAAGTGATTTAAAAATTAAAAATTTCTAAATTCTGGTTTGATTTTATAAATAACTTAAAAAGCGGACAGCAATAAGCATATTTTGCCATTAAAATATAAAGCTTTCGCGCTGCGGAATAACCTTACTAGGGGAACTTTTAAAAGTCTATTAATTTATTTTTCTATTCAAAATATTTTACTTTTTAGCATTTAGCCATTTTAAATTAATAATAACGTCATTGTAGAAAACAAAGTGAAATAATTGATAATTGTTGTAGGTGAACGTGGCAACCCTGCTTCCTTTTTTAAAAAAGTCCTACCGTGTACAGAAAATATGGTTAACCAATAATCGTCATGTTTAATGATGGACGTTGATGCACTACGAGCAGTACAAACAAGTGGCCCAACGATACCAAGCACGTGCTTGTTACGCGCGGGACCCTTTATCAATTAGGGCAAAAATGCGAGTTCGCGAGGAAAAGACATGAAACCAAATACTACAAATACTACAACTAAGATTGAAGCAAATGAGATAAAATTTTAGTTTTCAATACGGGGATAGATGTTGAAGTGCAAATTAAATGATAAAGATTGTTATAATTTTTACATAGAACACGAAAAGGCTCATGCAGAGTAAAATTTGATGTACATCGAGGCAAATTAAGAGGGTAATAATTTCGTGTTAGTCTAACGGGAACATTAAAAGTTAAACGGTTTACCAGTTCTACGGAATCAATATCACCTCTTATAAGATTTTGCATAAAAATAGTACCAAGCATTATTCTACGGTTTTCAAGTGTAGGTAAATTAAGCAATAGTAATCTACTCTGGTAGGAAGGTAGCCTTACGTTTTGATCCCAGTTCAAACTACGAAGGGCAAAAAGAAGGAATTTTTTTTGCACCGACTCAATACGGTCGATGTGCACTTGATATTGTGGGCTCCAAACTGAAGAACAATATTCCAAAATAGGACGGACAAGGGAGGTAAATAATAATCTGGTTGTATAAGGGTCATCAAATTCCTTTGACCAACGCTTTATAAACCCGAAAACACTCATAGCTTTATTGACAGTGGCCATTATGTGGCAATCAAATTTAAGTTTTGGGTCGAGAAGAACACCTAAATCGTTAATTGAATATATACGGTCGAGTGGTGTATTTTGAAGAGAATAACTAACAAACGTAGGAGTGCCCCTGTAAAAAGTCATAACGTTGCATTTAAGGCAGTTCAGATTTAAAAGGTTGTACTCACACCATCCCTGAAAACAATCAATATCTGACTGTAAGTTGAAACCGGACCCTACATCTTTATATGATAAACAAAGCTTAACATCGTCAGCGTACATTAGTACACGAGAATGAGCTACGATAGAGGGAAGATCGTTAATAAACAAAGTAAACAGCAAAGGGCCTAAATGACTACCTTGAGGAACTCCAGATGTCACGTTGATCATTTTAGAAACAGCGCTCTTAAATATAACCCTCTGAGTCCTACCATTCAAGTAACTTGAAATCCAAGTTAATAGATTACATGGGAACCCAAGCTGATCTAATTTGAATAAAAGGAGAGAGTGGTTAACAGAGTCAAAGGCCTTACTAAAATCGGTGTATATAACGTCAGTCTGCATGTTATTCTTATATCCATTTATTACAATAGATGATAGTTCAAGAAGGTTGGTGGTGGTCGATCTTCGCTTAACAAAACCATGCTGACACGGTGATATTAGCGAGGAACATAAATGCTGCA